CCCTGAATTGGCCAGGATCACTGAACCAGGTCTGCCGTAGCTGGTGTTTTTTCGGGTGACGGCAGCTCCGGTTTGCGAAATGGGGCGGGGGGGCATCCCCTGGTACACATCAGTAAACCAGGCCCCTTTAAACCCAGTTCTGCCAACGCCCGATTAACGCGCAGACCGAAGTCGCCGCAAATCCGAGGGCAACGATTTTCGCAGGACGCCGCAGCATGACGTAGTTTCTTGGCCGCCGTCTGCTTGAAACTCACGCGCGGATGCCGAGGCTGCCTGCGGCCATCCTTCTCCATGACGTTCGCCACAACATGCGCGAGATTGTTCTGCGCCTTCCTAGCGAGGGCACCTGCAAACTTGATCGGCGCAGACGCAGGGTGTGGAACCTGAACCAAAGTAGCGAAGTGCCCCGCCACTTGGCAACAGGGCACCGCGCTCGGGCTCAGCCCCCCGGGCAAAACGTCCTGCAATTCCAGACGACTAGGGATCTAAAGAAGGGCAATACATGTGGCTCTCAAGGCATCTTTGGTATTGGCCCATAAGTTAAGGTGGGGCCGCGGGCCCTGTGGCCCCGCCTGGACACGACCAAAACCGCAGGCCACATTGCCCGAATCCGTCGCGAAGACCACAGCAGCACCCTGCAAGTAAACTCCCGAAACAGCAAGGATTGCCCGCAAATCCCCACCATTGATGAACTGCTTGCCAGCAATACCGCCTCCGAAACAAAAGACGATCCCAGTCTCCTAAATACTGGGCACGGACGAAACGTCATGCTCAAGATTTGCCAAGCCGGAGGACACACTCCCGGGCCTCTTGCACCCCCTTGGAAAACGCGCTACCGCCGGCGGGTGCGCGGGCCCAGGAGCTCGGCGTGAGACCTCGCAGCCCAAAGGACGGTGTCTCGGCAACCGCGCTGGCTCCTCGTCTCACCAAGGCTTCCGAGAACTCGCGGAAGTCCGAAGTGGCAAGGCGTCCGTAGACGGCGGCGGCAGCGAGGCGCCCCCCCCCCCCCCCCCCATCTTGCCTCGAGCCGCAGTGCCGGCCAACGCCCGACGCCATTGCTGGAGGGCCCACGGCGCGACCCCCAAAGCCTCCCAGGCATGAAGAGCCCGCGGCGATGCCCCAGCGAGGATAGGGCGCGCGCCGGTCTTCGGAGGCGCCGCCCCAGACAGTTTCCGAATTCGACAAGCCCGACGCTGAAACTATCTGAGGCGCTTGGAATGGCGAGGCCTGGCCTGGGCGACCCCGCTGCTTCGCCCACTCCCGGGGCCCGCGGACACGGGGGCAAATCGACTTGGGCCCCCTGCCAGCCCGAGCCCGTCTGGATGTGACGGGCCACTGGCAAATCTGAAGCGATTGTCGTGAACTTGCTAGCAATGTTGAGCTTCTCCCCAGCGCTGCCGCTGGCGCAGACGCTGCCGGTTGCTGGCCGAAACTATTTCGCGAACGACGTTTCTTCTCGACCCCTCCGCGCGCCGGGTGACATCATCGATCCGCGCGCGGAGGGGGGCCGGCGAGCTGCGGGCGCGCGCCCTCTCGCCATTGCGAAAATTTTTGGCGCTTCGAGAAGTCTGGGCCCCTCCGACCGCCAGCCGCGAGGCCCCCATGAGGAATGATGAGGGGGGGGGGGGGGGGGGGGCGCGGGCGCGACGCCCTTCATGATCCCCGAGCACCCTCGGCCCCGCGCGGAGAAGCCCTTCAAGAGCCAAGGGGCCCGATGGAAAATCAAGATCAATGGCGCGAGCCAAAGCCTGCCTGGGGGGCCACGTGCGAATCCGACCCCTGGCCGCTGCGATTTCTGATGGGGAGCCTGGGACCCACTTCGCTCGGGAGCTCCCGCGCGAAGTGAACCCCGCCCCCCTCCTCAGAAATCATTGGAGGCAGGGGTGGGATTCGCGCGCGGCCCTCTAGGCCCCCATCTGATGGCGCCATGAGAGGCCCATGCAGCACCTCTCTGCACGCGCTGCTCGAGGAACTGGGGCGCCGCCGGCGCAGAGAGGGCGGGGGAGAGGGGGCCCGGGCGCGCAAGCCGGGAGGCGAACGACGTCCGCGTGCACGGCCACGAGGAGCCAAGAGCCACTGGCACCCACGCGGGCAGACAGCGTGAGTCACGAGGGCAGCTGGGTGCCACGGCCCATGGCGCACCGCGTCCCGCGAGACGGACGCGGAGCAACAGTCGCGCATGACGGAGGCCAGCGCGGCCTCGTCTGCACGGCGCCGTAGCAGAGCCTCCTGCAGGGCACTGTGGCCTCGAGCCGCCGCGCGCCCCGCTGCCCTGACGCGCTTGGCGGCCCAGACTTCTGCGGGGCGGGAACTCGCGCGACCCCGCGGGCGACCGAGCCAGGCGAGCCAGGCGAGCAGGCCATTGGCGCGATCCTCACGCGCGTCGGGCGCGCGCAAAAAGACAAGTGTCAAGGGGGGGAAGACCGCCCAGACCAGACAATTGGCGTTCACTCTCCATCTTTGGATGCGTTTCACGGCTTCGCGCGTCGGGGCGGATATTTTCTCTGTGGATTTTCTGTGCTCAAAATTGGAGATGTGGACCACTGCCAAGGCCGAGCTACCTTGGCTTCATCCTCGCGAAACACGCCCAGACGCCTGCGGCGACCAGACTCAGGAAGCCACCGCGCGCCACGCAGTCCGACTCCCACGATGCCCTCGGCGCCTCCTGGCGCCGTCGATCGCAGCCCCGCCTCGAGCTGATCCAAGGCCAATGGCCCCATACGGTCGCGCAGCGCCAGCTCCCGCGCCCCCGACAGGGCGGCCATCACCCCGTTGCCGCCGATTCCCTCGGGGCCCCGCAGCTCACTCAAGGCTTGAGTCGCGAGCTCCATCGCCGAAGCTGCGCCGCGCGAAGTCACGCCGTCAGCCCTCATCTCTCTGACCTGAACCGAGCTATCCTGGACATACTTGCGCGACGCCCCGCGCCCAGCCGCCGCTCGCTGAGCCTCGGGAAGCACGCTGCCGCTATCGAGCCAGGGTCCGAAAAGATTTGTTCGCGGCCCTCCGGGCCGCGGCAGCGAACGCCTCCGCGGACCCGTGGGTGCCATCAGCCAGCGACCTCATCCCTCGAACCCATCGATCATGTCTGCGGGCAGGCACAGGGGCGATCTGAGCATTGGGAATAGCGCCAGCTCTGACGGCTTTCCAGTGGGAGAGCCCCTCCAATAGTTCGGCAGTCGTAGCCCACTATGGAAAGCTGGGGGCCGTAGAAGCAACGCGCGGCCTGGGCCCCTGATATTCGCCAAGCTGAGGCCCTTTCATCGACGACCGCCCCTTGCACTGCTGCTTCCTTTCCATCGGAGACACCTGATGCGACTCGAGGTAATGCAACTCCACGGCGTCAGCCCAGGACGCGAAGCGGTGGCCAAGATGCTCAGCCTCGCAACATGCCGAGCGAAAGGCGAGAGGCTCTCTCGCAAACTCAGGATCTTCCAAGGAAGGACTCCGTGCCGCCACCTGCTGCCACAGCAAGCCCTTGCCCCCCTCAGCTCACTCCCTCTGGATCGATGCAAACGTGTCCACATCCAAATCCGCGACTGCCACCTGCGCGTCATCGTCGTCAGCTGGCACGCGCGCGTCTTCATTGTCCGCGGCGAAATCGCCCATAGCATCTCTCAACATGGCACGCTACAGGGGAGGCGGGCTCCTGATGGCAAGCCTCCGCGGCAGACCCCATGAAAAGGCGTAGGAGGCGCTCCCGTAGAAGCAGCCTCGTTCTTCCGCTCCTGCCGCGACGCGAGCTTTGGACCGCTTGCTGGAAGGGTCAGGCTGGCGCGCGGGCACAAGGGGGCGAGGGGGAGCACGATGTGCCCTCATCAACCATGTCCGCGACAGACACGCATCGAAATCCAAGTTCAGTTTGGAAGCGCACTGTTTTTGGCCTGCTTCCTCGACCGCGCGGAAATCAACCACCAAATTAGCAATACAAGGACGCCCTTCGGGCATGCGACCACTACCAAGAGTGCACGTATACTCTGTGTTCGACGGCACGACAGCCGTCGCCCCACCAAGGAAAACCATCTTGGAGACGTCAACTCCTAGGAGGTCATGTTCCAGTCGCCGATGGCAACCCACGGCTCCTGGACCGTGGAGACCATCGTATCGACATTGACAAGTTTGGGTGCGGTGGCGTTTGGCCCAACAGAAGACGTCATGCACACATGCGCAATGAGCAAGGACTGCTTCATGGCCTGAAGCTGGAGGCCTACCGTGTCACGAAAGTTGTTCCTTGGCTGCGAGGCACCACCTCCGAGATGCCCAAGGTCCACTTTGTGGTACGGATCCGAGGCACATTGGCGCAACGATTTTAAAATTCAGTTCTCCACGGCACCCACGGTAATACCGCCTGCCTTGGCTTTGGTTCTTGTCTCATGAGGAGAAGAAACCACGCCCGTGTAGCTCGCCTTCCTCCCATCGCGAAGAATCATACTTCAACCCGTTTCCTCGACGTGCGTCTCTGGAATCACAAGGATGTCCGCCACCCGCTCTGTGGCTAACGATCTGGCCGCTGGGCCCCATCTTCCCCAGCTACGCAAGTACAAGGAAAACTGTGTCCTCTCCACGACAGATGCAGACTTGGACGGTGGACTGGAAGGCACCGACCCCGCCCCAGGGGAATCCACATCGCAAGCCACGTGAGGCTCGACAGCCGAAACGCATTCCCCTCCAGCCGCCGAAGCCACCTTCTCAGGGGCGACGAGCAGCACAGGGATAGGAAGATGAGGTGGTGATCAAGAGGAGATATGAGAGGAGGATGAGGAGGATGAGGAGGAGGAGGAGGAGGAGGAGGAGGAGGAAGAGGACGAGGGGATCGGCGAGGAGGAGGCCGAAGATGAGGAGAAGGCCGAAGAGGAGGAGGAGATCGAGGAGGAGGAAGCCGAAGATGAGGAGGAGGCCGAAGAGGAGGAGGAGGAGGAGGAGGAGGAAGTTGGGGAGTAGGAGGAGGCCGAGGAGGAGGAGGAGGAGGAGGAGGAGGAGAAGGAGGAGGCCGAAGAGGGCAGGCTCAGCAGCACCAGGGCCAGCCTCTCGACGCGGGCCAGCTCCTCCAGCGCTCTGGCGCCACCGCACGGCGCGGCGCCGGCTTGCGAGGTGCCGTCCGGCGAGGCGCCGCGGCAGTGCTGCGCTGAGCGAGGTGGCCGTCGGGGTGGAGGCGGGCGCGGCGAGGCCTGAGGGAAAACGACCCCTTTGGTTGTCAATCTCCTTCTCCTGCTCCTCCTCCTCCTCCTCCTCCTCCTCCTCCTCCTCCTCATCTTTCCTCCTCCTTCTCCTCATCATCAGCATCAGCATCAGCATCAGCATCAGCATCATCAGCATCCGCATCAGCATCAGCATCATCATCATCATCATCATCATCATCATCATCATCATCATCATCATCATCAACACCATCATCCTCATCATCATCATCATCAGCATCATCATCATCATCATCATCATCATCAGTTTCATCATCAGCATCATCATCATCATCATTTTCATCATCATCATCAGCATCATCAGTTTCATCATCATCATCATCATCATCATCATCATCATCATAATCATCATCATCATCATCATCATCGCCCTCCTCCTCATCATCAGAAGCATCATCATCGCCAATTTCATCATACTCATCATCAGTTTCATCATCATCATCATCATCATCATCATCATCATCATCATCATCATCATCATCATCATCATCATTTGTCATCATCATCAGCATCATCATCATCAGCTTCATGATCGCCTGCTTCTCTTCCTCTGCCTCTTCCTCCTCCCCCTCCTCCTCCTCCTCCTCCTCCTCCTCCTCCTCCTCCTCCTCCTCCTCCCCCTGACACCCCTCCTCCTCCTCCTCCTTCTCCTCCTTCTCCTCCTCCTCTTCTTCCTCCTCCTCCTCCTCGTCCCCATCCTTCTCATCGCCTCCTCCTCGTCCTCCTCCTCCTCGGCCTCCACCTGAGTCCACTGCTGCTCCTCCTCGGCCTCCTCCTCTTCCTCCTCCGCCTCCTCCTCCTCTTTCTTCCCATCTCCTCCTCCTCCCCCTCCTCTGACGCCTCGGGAGGCGGAAGGTCGGGATTGTTGGTTCAGCGTGTCGCGCCGCCGCCAGCGCGGCACGGCAGCCATTCCCACTCCCAGGCGCACGTGTGTCGAGCCTTCCCGAGCCGCCCGCCCCGCGGAGCTCAGCCGCACGCCATCAGCTTGCAAGGCACAGCGTGTCTCTGGGGCCGCCGCCGCGGCGCGCTATCCAAAAGTTCCTGACCGCAGGGTCAGGGGAGGCAGGTTCGAGGTTATAGGTTTTCGGACGCTTTCGTTGGTTGCCGGCGGTTTCGAGCCTCCGGATGTTTTCCATCAGTTGTGCTTGGCCGAAGGCGTTCCACTTGTGCCCAGATCGTCCCGAACGGCCGCCGGAGAGCCGAGTTATGACCCGAAGGCCAGGGGACATCGTTAGGGAGACATCGATCGTCCAGAGGGGTCTGAGAGCCCGTTCAGCCTGAGGGCGTTGTACTTTAGACTCGGTCAGGTTTACTTGCATGGCATTTCGACCCCCCCTTCCACCCCAAGAGGAGGAAAAGGTACCGGTACCGCTACCCCCTTCCTTCGTGTTCATTTTTAGGGGGCCTCCTGGGATGCCCCCCTCGTCGCCACCGCTGGGCTCGCTTCGAAATTCTGGTCAGCACGCCCCCCGGGAGAGGTCCGTGGAGTAGCGGATCGATACCTGTTGGTTTCCCCACCTCTCCCCCTGCCCTCCGCCGCCTGTTTGATGAGCGCTAGGCCGCAGAGGCGTGCCAGCGAGTCCCGACTTGCGTGAGGGCCCGTTTTCTTTCCAGCCCTCGCAACGCCTTCTCCCCTCTCCCGCCTGCCCCCTGCCCCATAAAGAAAAACAGCCTTCTGCACGGCGCCACCCCTGGCGCTCTGGAGGCGTGCTGAAGGGAAGGGGGGTCCAGCGCCGACCCAAGACATCCCCGCCGACCGCACATCGACCGGACGTGATTAGTAATATGTTTTCGGGTCTGTTCGTGGGTTCTCGGCGCTTTCCCAGCCTCCGACAAAGCTGTATAGTCCTTTCTGGTCCGCCGGGAGGGATCCGCGAGGCCAAGATGGTTGAGGCCGCTACCTCCCGAACAAACAAGCATCGGGATGCTTTCCAGCAGCAGTGCATCCCCGAGAGCACCCTGGGGGTGCCTGGATCGTCCCGAACGGGCGCTGGAGACCCGATGCAGTCATCCGAAAGACAGACATCCGACGCATCAGGAAGACAACGCGGAACAATTCCGTCGTTTGGGGCTTCTGAGATCCGCACGGGTTCTTTTACCAGCCTGGAACATACCCCTTTCCCTATGCTGGGCACCTCCTCATCACGATGCCAATATTAGGGATTCTTTTATTTTTTGAGGGCGAATCCCTAAGATTGTCATCGCCTTTTGGCGTGTCAATCCTAGGGATAGGGATACGCTCGAGGCTGGTAATTCTTGGGTCGGCGCAGGAGCCCCCTCCCATGGCGTTCCAGGGGAGGCGCTGGAGGCGCCGCCTGGGGGGTTCCAGCGCTGACTCGAGAGATCCGCGCGGACCTCCACGCCCCTCGGTTCGGCTTTTGCTGCTGCCCATGGGCACGCGAAGGCTGATTTTGACTGTAACCAGAACTTTCGGAGGTCAGCGGGAGAGGGAGGAGGGGGAGGGGGAGGGGGAGGGGGGGGGGAGGAGGAGGAGGAGGAGGAGGAGGAGGAGGAGGAGGAGGAGGAGGAGGAGGAGGAGGAGGAGGAGGAGGAGGAGGAGGAGGAGGAGGATTTCTTGGGTCGGCGCTGGAGTCCCCTCCGTGCCACCTGTAGGCGGCACCTCGGGCGCCGTCTTCCTGGCTCGCTCCGCGTGCCGGGGAGGTGGTGGGAAAGAGTGCCAGCAAGCATGTCCTACGCAGGGTATACCGCGTGAGTCCTCTCGAAACTGAGCCGGCCTAAAACAGACCGCTCGGATCTGGAGCCTTCCGCAGCGGACGTCGTGTGGTGCTGCCCGTGCGCCTGGCCGGCCTGCGGGCGACTGCCCCGGCGGGCCTACATCGGGCACGGACCCGTGCTCTCCCCAACCGAAAGGCCAGCCGAGCCGCGAAGGCACGGGTCACCGAGACTTCCCAACCTACGATAAACCACGGCTGACACCAATCGAGCTTCCTCGGCCGGCGCCCGTGCAGAACAGAGCGAAGGCGGGCAACGACCGAGGAACTCCCCTCGAGCCTCGGCACAAACATTTAAACCAGCATCTGCCAAGCCAGCGCCCTCGGCTAGGCAGGTCCAAAGGAGGAGGAGAAGGAGGAGGAGGAGGAGGACGACGACGAGGAGGACGAGGAGAGGGAAAAGGAAAACACGGCGAGCAGACGCCAACATGCAGGAGGATAGGGGGGAAGCAAAGGCAGCAGCAGGCAAGCGCACACGCGGGGGCGGGCGGGGGGCGGGAGGGGGCATTAGGCGTTGGCAGCTTTCGGGGAGTCGTCGCGAGAGGTCGCGGGCGGGGGGGCGTCGGAGTCGGCGTTGTCAGTGTCGTCAGCGGCGGCGGTCAACGGCTGCTGGGGGTCAGGGAGGGCGTTTGGCGGGGGCGTCCGCGGGGTTGATGGCGCAGGCGGGGGGGCGGGCGGTGAGTGAAAGGGGAGGCTGCCCTAGGGCTGGGCCTGCAGCTCACGCGGCGTCGGCCGTGGAGGGAGGCTGCTGTGGCCGCCGCCAGGCGCGCGACCGACGCCCCTGCTCGCGGCTGTAGGCGACACAGCACTGCCCGCGCATTCTCCCTGTGAAGGGAGATGGAGATTCGCTGGGCAAGCTGGTCAGCCGCGAGCGCGGCGTCGTCCCCGGTGGCGTCGGCCGCGCGCTTGGCCAGAACTGTGAAGGCGCGTCGCGCCTCGCGGCCTCAGCCGCCGCCGTGGGCCTCGCACGCCATCGGCATGAATGTCAGGCCGGCATCCGAGCAGCGGCGCGCCTTGTCCAGGTGCAGGCGTTTCTGCTCCTCGTATCTGGTCTCCGCAGCGTCGCCGCCGCCCTTCGCGGCCGAGGTCGCGAGCAGGTCCGCGCGGAAGCCGGACGTCACGGCGAAGTCCCACGCCGCTGGCGCACCGTTGCGCCACTGCGGAACGAAGACGTCCGCGGGTCGCCTCCCGTTGCCGTCCAGGTCGCCGCCGCCTGCCTCTCCGGGCGGGGGGCCCTCGCCGGACGCGCGCGGCGGCAGCAGGCCCGGGCGGTCGAGTTCCGGCCCAGCAAAGCCGGCGGCCAGCGTTTCGTGCCAAGCCTGGTTGCGGAGGCAGTTGTGGCGTTTCGTGCGGTCGCCGAGGCAGCTGCAGGTGAGCGCGTGGTCGGCTAATGCGGACACGTCCATCACCTCTCCGCACGCGGGGCAGAAGGCCTCCTCGTCGAGCAGCTGGTGTCGCAGGCGGCGTTGCAGCGCCACCTGCATCAGGCTGTGCGGGAAGTCTGTGCCAACTGCCAGGCACTGGTGCGCCTGCATGAAGGCGCCAGCGCTTGGGGCCGCGATCAGGTTCAGATGGGCTCTCGTGGCCAGCGAAGTGCGCTGCCAGAGCTCGTCACTCGACTACACGTAAGAGTGATCTTTCGCCGGGGTGACCTTTAATGTTGGCCCAAAGGGGGTCGGGTGATCTTTCTGGTGGAATGAGCTTGACCTCGCGTCGGCACCTGCGTCGCGCGATTACGCTCGCGTCTGCGCGCGCCGGTTTCGGGCCCGCCCCTTGCAATCGACAGCAAAGCATGCGCGTCGCACCCGACAGCTTGCATGGGTTACCCGAGGGGGGCTGGTCGACCAGACGGCGCGTTTTCCGGTCCAGGACCAGTCCCGACTCCCAGCCCAAATGCCGAAACGTCTGGCTTGCACATGTGTGGGTATCTTTGAATATATTTGAATCTGTTTTCGAACCAATGGGGGTCTTTATTCTTATAAGTTTCCCGAAGATATGCCAACGTGTTCCAGGCTCGAGGATGGGGCCAGTTTGGGCCATGGGGCCGGGCCTGGTCAGACGTCATCGCGATGCAACCCAGCAGTGTCAAACCGCATCGCGGGTGCCCGCGGCGGCGTCTGCTCTCGCACCGCGTTCGAAGTGCCATTCGGGGTGCTCGAACTCAATCGGCGCAATTCCGCGGTCGCCCGCTGGCGCAACAAATCTTTCGAGCGGCGCCCCGCAGATCTTTGATGCG